ATGTTCAATTTATTATTTCCAAACAAACAAAGAAGCTATTCATTCAAATTTTTATTTTATTTTATTTTATTTTTGCATTCGAAGAAGGAGGTTGCAGGTCCAACCCCAGGTTAGATGCACTAAAAAAAGTTACATCCAAACAAAATATTTCTAATAATTTCCAAAAAAAAATTGGGGGTATGAGCCCCATAGATTTTCATATTACAACTATGTTCAATGTAAACAACAACTATTTTCAAGATCCATGGTTAGTTCAACAAAACACCTTCAACAATAATGGTGTCGTTCAAAATACTGCATTCATAACTGGCTAGAAGGTTTTAGTTCTAGCCAAAAAAGCCAAATAAACAAATAAAAAATGTTCAACATAATATGTCTGAACAAGTAGAAGTTGTTCAACATATAAAATATGAACTTATTTATTTTGTTCAACATAAATATTTTAAACATATTTACTTTGTTTAATTTTTTTTTGTATGATAATATTATGTTCAAACAACTAGAGTTGAGCCAAACTCAAAATAAATATTATTATGGAAGTTCAATCGATAACTAAATTAAAAGAAGATAGGAAAAACATATGAAGATGAGAATGGAAAGTGTGAATCAAGGGTGAGAATGGTAATTTGAAATGAGGATGAGAGTTCGACATTGATGATGAAGATCAACACCAGCAAAGATGGAGGCCAAATGAAACTCTCCGCCAGCGATCTGAAATAACAAGATGACGAGATGAGATACGACAATAGTTCAACACCAACGATGGAAATCAACACTATAACGACTCTGGTTTAGATCTGACTCGTTGATGTTTTAGATCCGAGTTTCATTGTCTTATATGATTGTTTGTGTCTTGTTTTCCCTTATTCCTCATTGATTTTGGTTATTGGGGTGTGTTGATTGCATTTAGAGCAGGTTGGTTGCTTCTTTTTAAATCTATTGTTGCCCTAATTTTTTGTCTCTACGCTCAAGCGAAGCTTCTTGCACTCGATCGGTGTTTGAAAGCTCTCAGTACTTTTGCAGGTTTGCAAAAATACTGGGAGGGTGCATTCTTTGCTCGAATGGTGATTCCTACGCTCGAGCTATCACTCTTGTTGTGTTTGTACGCTCGAGCGACATTTCTTGCACTCGAGCAGTCTGTTCGAATTTAGCAACTATAAAAGTCACTTTTGGTCACATCTAGATCACTTTTCTCTTCCCCTTCTCTCTTCTTCCACTATTTTTGAGCTTCCAAGCTCTTTTTACTTGGTTTTCATCTATTTCTACCCATCTTTGACCCTTAATTCCTTATACCAAAACGTAAAGCTCGACGAGGGCTTCCATTTAATCTAAGCGGATCATGTTTTCATTGAAGTTAGATTTTCTGGCATTCTTCTTTTCATTGCTTGAGGGAGGGATTCTTTTGCTTCTTTTCAATACTTCATCTATAGATGGACATGTGATAGATTTTATTGCATAAAAATCATATCTATTGTAGATCTTTTGAAAATCATAAAAAGGGGATCTGGGGTTTGATCTTCGGGTTTCAAATTGAGAAAATTGGTTGTTGTTTGATTAGTTGGGGAGTGGTTTATGGTGTTCATGTTAAGAGGAAGAGAAAGTCCTAATTTTGATAATTTGACCTAACGAACTAAAAATGGGTAAATTGATTGAAGATTGTGTTTTGATAGTTTGAGTTGTGATTATTGTGTTGTTAGTATAAAGCATGAATAAATTATGGTATTGGGAATTTATTTGGATAATCATGTTTAGTTAATTTGGATCATGGCTTGGAAATCCTAGGATGTGATACTATTGAAATGTGGAAATTTGTTTTTAGAAAATAAAAGAGTTGATTTTGAAAAGAGAAAGAAATCATGGCATATTGAAAATCTAGATTTGAACTTGAAGTTGGGTTTTGAAACATTTGAATGTTGTTATTATTATTGTTGTTGGGTTTAAAGTCAAGGGAGTATCGGATTATCATATTATGTATACTTAAATACTTATGCTGAGAGATTTTGTCCTTGGTCATCAGTGGAGGATGACATTGTGATGTTGAATAGATTATGTGTATGTAGTACACTCAGAATTATCTGCATTGCTTGAATAGGGTTTTGTGTATGGAGTACACTCGGATTATGTTTGTTTGTTGAATTATGTAGTGGTCGGAATTGTGCACGCCCTGAGAATAAAGGGGTATCATTACCTTTCAGCTAGCGCCTGGAGAATTGGCAGTGCTGAGAATGTGGGGTGTTAGTACCTTCCAACTAGTGCCTAGAGCACTTGGCAGAGGTACCATTATCTTCCAGTTGGTGACTGGTAAATTGGCGCGAGTATTGGAAATGTATCCTTCGCTTACTGTGCTTGAGGCAGGTAGAGCGTTGTTGGGTTTTTTGTTATCATCGTGGTTCCATTTATGTTTTATGATGCATTGAGATGATTATTTTATGGAGGACGTCAGTATCTTAAATGGTTATATAATGAGTATTCTATATGTATCGTCGTCATGTTCATTTGGGATACTTCTAATCAGAAATTGTAAAGTGAAATTGGTATAAGTTCGGTAATCGAATAAAATGTAATTGGGTTTTGTGGATTGGCTTCGAAAACTGGTTGTCATCGGGTAAGTTTAAGAATTTAAAAGGTGACAAGATGAAGGAAAGACGAATGATTGTGTTGTTGAATAAATTGAACATTTTGGAGGAAAATATCTATATATGTGTACCTTCATGTATATACGATACTTATGTATATGGTATGATTAAAAGCATTCATGATCATAGCTATTTGTATGTTGTTATTGTTTAGAATCATATTGGGATCCGTACTGGACTTTATGTTCATTCCATGTTACTAATCCCTTTTCAGGTGAACATCAAGAAGTGTGAAGTGTGTCAAGATAAAGGATCTTCATTAATTGTTGGCCACGGGGCCTTGTAATTGTTGGCCGAATGCCATTGTTGTAAAAAAGGTTGAACCCTTTCTCTTTCATGTATTGATGTAAGCTTGCGGGCAATTTGTTGTAACTATGTCTCATGTTGCATTCACTATGTATTCGAATGAGAGAACCTTTACTTAATTGTCTTTATTGATGTATTGAAGTCACATATATTATCTCTGAAATTGTATTATAATAAATGATTTGGTAATGTTACTTGAGTAATAAAAAGTGGGGCGTTACAAACATTGATGAAGATGGAAGCCGAATGAAACCCTCCGCCGGCGATGGAGTTTAACACTGACGATGGAGATCAATAGCAGCGAAGATGGTCTTTGTTATGAAGATAGAGAGTTTTTGGTGTGTGTAGTGGTGTGTATTCAAACAGACAAGTGGTGTTACATAGGGCTAGTAATGAAAAATTAAGGTGTGAACTAAGATATTTTTAAAACTTAAAAATTATTTTGTGTGCTTAGTGACAAAATTAGTGATATATAAATAGAATTAGCCTTGAGTTTATATTAACAATATTTATCACTAATTTGTAAATAATTTTTGAGAAAATTATTTATAAATCCTATTGGGAAGACTTATTTAATGTGAAGTCCTATGAATATTTTTTTAGAGTTTGACATCTTAATTAAATAGGAATGTGTTCCATAAAGTCCTGTTAGTTGTAAATGAATCATATTAGTGTATTATTATACCCCTAATTTGTTTCCATATTGTACCTTATTTTTTCATTCATCATATCGCGTTTGGGAAGGCTTTTAGGAAAGACAAGTCTACAAGCAACGACCGTACGAGTTTTTTTCGCCTTGATCGCGGAATTCCAGTACATTTTCAAAATGTTGCTTAAATGGATGTGGATATGGTCGATGATATGATGAAATTTGAGGGTTGTGTGTTGACTCCTTCGATATATTTCGACTCTAAATCGGTTGAGAGGAAAAGATATGTTTTATTTTATTTTATTTTTTGTTAAAGTGTGTTACTGTTTGTTGAAGTGTCGATTGCTTATCTTTAATAGGGCATTGACAATCTATTACACACATTGATAGGCAAACTTTGACCAAAGTTCTAATTGAATGTGTGTATTTGACATTGTGATAGTTGATGCGTTTTGATACATTCGATGTATGGGGTGGTGTGTATGGGTTCAAGGGTTGGGTTTGGAGTATTTGGTTTTGATTGTTAATTGGACGAATCACGTCATAAGATGACAATTATACATTAGGACCTGAATGATCGTGTTACGATGTATGTTATATTTAGTGTGTACCGTTAATCCACATACACCATGTAGTAGATGACATTTGTGTGTTTGCTTGGTTGTATATGTGTTTGAATCTGTATCGTATCTTTGTTGTAATTAGTGTTTACATACATGTTACAGTACGTTACACAAAATTATTGGAGATTTAGATTTGTAATTGAATGTGGATTGAATCTCATCGCTCAATGTTGAAGTTACGCTGGGTTAGGGGTGATGGTGGTTCAATACATGAGTTGGGTTGGGATGTTATATGTTATATTTAGGAGGCTACATTATTAATAATTCAACTGTGGAGTATTGAAATGTTGCGTTTGGTTTCTGATGAGAAGCATATGGGAATATTACGGTAATTTTGAGATATTACATATTACATTTACGTTGGGTTTGGAATGAGAAACATATGAGAATGTCACGTTGGATTTGAGAATATCACGTTAAGTTTGGGATGCTACATGTTATATTTATGTTTTGAATTTCAAATTTATAACCATATAGATATGATCACAATCTATGGTAACATATCTGGTATTACCATAAATCATGTTATTAATTAATTAAAATTGAGGGTCAATATATTTACAAAAAAACCACAAGACCTATTAAATTATAAATTTTTTCAAAAAATCAAATTTTATATAAATCTTTCAAATAAAACTTATAAATAATTGACCCTTAATTTTTTAAATATCCACCGAGTTCTTGTGAGTTCTTGTTATTTTCCCAAAATCAAAACTGTGTGGGGAGCCACTTAAAAGTTGGACCAAGTGGACAGATCTGGAAATCTGATCCGTTAAAGCAGTTAGAGGTGTGGCTTCTTCACTCCCTCCTCTCTCTCTTATCCATCACAGAAAACCCATCAAAAGCCAAGCCCTTCTCTACCCACTTCTTCTTCTTAACACTCGTTCAACCCTCGTCTCAAATTCAACAACACCATTAATTAGCAGCTAATTAATGGCGTTGTCGAGTCCTCAGTTGCAGAGATTCCTATCCAACTCCAACCGAATAGACTTGTGCAACTATTATGGCTACAACAAAACCACTTCTAGTACCAAGAAGAAGAACAACATCAACATACCAGTCAAGGGAAGAGGAACCAGGTGTTGCTCTGCAATCGCAATCGATGCGCCGTCGTCGTTGTCCACCGGTGTGGCCGGCGTTAGATGGGGTTCCACACGTTTACAGGGTGCCCGTGAAGAGATGGAAGATGATGTTGTTATTGTCCGGTCCGATGACCTCGGTGGTTTCTCATTTGCTGCTGTTTTTGATGGACATGCTGGCTTCTCTTCCGTCAAATTCCTCAGGTTTTGAAACTTTAACCTATTAAAGTTGCTATACTTTTAATTAGAGCTTGTCAATTTTTGGGCACGTCGTGAGAAAGTAATTTCTTGTGAATTCCCTAGTCGCGGTGTGGATGGCTTGCCTTTGATTGGACCCGGGAGGGGATTAATTGAGTGGACCCGTGTGTAAGCTCCCAAGTTTGGTGCTGCTTTTAAAATGTTTGAAAATTATGGAAAATGCCACATTCCTAAGTATGGACAATCAGGTAAACTGAATATGCTTCCCTCCCCCCCCCCCCAAAACAAAAAAACAAAAAAAAAAAACCCTTGTGGGTATGTTTGCGGTTGTAGCTCTAACCCAACTTGATTAGTTTGATTTGGTTTGGTTTGGGTGTATTTGTGGTTGCATATGTTACTGTTGCCTTGCTTGTGTGGAGTTGTGCTTAATTTTTCATATTACTTGATTACTTGGGCGTTTCTTGAATTGATTCATGTGACCATTTTATCTTTTGAGCTTTGATTTGAAAAGAGGGAAAAAAAAAAAGAAAAGAAATCAACAAAATGTTGGGATGTTGAAAAAATTAGTGCAATTTGTGTTTTTTTTTTTTTGGTGAGTGTTTTATTAAAAAAAAAAAAAAAAGCGAGGATATTAAATGAAACTCAAAACATGTAGCCATAGGCATACCCAACCTAGCCTAAAAAGGGTTAATTATTTAGTAGTGTAGGAGCACCATGTGACATTACCTATGTCATGCTGTAAACCAATCATGTAGCGAAATTGTTTCGGGTGGAACATACTGAGACTGACCTTTGTTAGTGTAGACACCCTATTTTTGATCAGCCTTAAGACTTGGATGCTTGTTCTTTGGTACCCAATGATGAAAGCCAAGATGTTTTTCTTGTGAATCTCTCAGCAAGAAGCTTAGGAGTCAGGCCTTGAAACTAACCAAGCACCTGTTTCGGCCAAAATACTTTTCGATTAGTGGAAAACCTTTTTCAAAATGAGTTTTGTTGTGCAATTCTAGACATTACCAATATGTCTTGAGGCTCATCTTTTCAAAATCAAAATGTGGAGTTCTTTCAAACAGATTGAGCAAGGGATATAAAGGGAATGAATGGAAGGGGTGAAATCCTCTGAAATACCTGTTTTTCCTTTCAATTTGTGCTAACTTTACCTTGTTGATCCAATGATGTATTTTCCAACTAGCGGGACAACACGTCATGGCTGGCTCAAAACACATTCGGTCGGACACCAAAGGGTACGACTAGCTGAATTGTCCGGGTACAAAGCATTTTTGGAAATTTCAACTTGTTTTGCTCACTTTCCGCAAAATATCTCAGATATTTATAGCCGAAACTCTATAAATAGAGCTCGGCATCTCATTTCAATTGGTTGGAAAAATTGCCCAAAGCTTATACAAAGGATTGAGAGCCCCTCCTCTCTCTCTTCATCACCTCCCCCCAACCTCCTTCAATATTTAAGACTCAAACACCATTGAAGTTCAATCCTAAGTTTTTTGCTGGGATTCTTGGACACTTTAAAGCATATTAAGAGGATCTTGAGGGTATCAAGAAGGAGTTTGGCCAACCAAAGAACTCACCCTCTTCAAGAGGTGAAGTTCTTGCAATATTCATCACTTTTCTCCCTCTTATTCTTCATTTTCAGCTATATTATTGTTCTACAATTGCTGTAGCTATGTAACAAGTCCTCATGGATGTGGTTGGGGGTAGATTAGCCACCCATCCATTGAGTTGATAGTTCTACTTTCTTTCTTTCCTTAGTTTGTCTATACTTTCTTGCTTTCCATAGCTAAAGTCCACTGTTGTTGTCTTTTTTGGAACCTTGTGGATGTGATTGGGAGTAAAAAGTAGCCATCCATTCACAAGTTTGATATGTAGAATAGATTTCTTTCTTGTTGCAAATCCTCTCCTCACATATCTTATCATCTAAGCATGTTAATCAATGTGTTTCAACCTATGCTCAATATTAATGAGTAATAGTGGTTGTTTCATAGGATTACTTGGGTGATTCTTAGGATTTGATGTTGAGAAGATTGTAGCTTTCCATTTTATTGATTATTTGGAAGTAAAACAAGTGGTTGTAGGTCAAGAGGGTTGAAGTCTTTCTTCTCAATCATTTGTGAACATAGAAGGGGGTGGAAAAATCCTTGTTCCGTGAATAGAAGAAGAGTTTTCAATAGCTTTTGATGAATCCCTTGTTTTAAAAGCAAAGCTTCCACTAAGAAATGATGTGCATTAATCTACTCTCTCCAATTAATAATATGGATTTTGGTATTAACTTGCCTTTATTCACAAAGAGATGATGTAGGTTCCTATCTATTTCTTAGGCTTGAATTTTTTCGTTCTTTGATCCTCTTAATTTGTTGAATTATTGCAAAATGCCTGTTGTATATATCTAGTTGTGCTATGGTTGAGGGTTGAGGCCCATCTATCTTCCCCTTAAGTGGTTTCTGGGAGTGGAAGAGGTAGAAGGGATGAGCATCCCTTGGAAGGTGTCCTTGGCTTCTGTTCTGGACTTTCTGCATCAACTTGATTTTATCCCGAAAGAAGTGTTTGGCCAGTCACTTCTGTAGTCGGCCGGTCCATTTTTATAGATGGCCGGATGATCATTCCAAGAACAGAGTAGATAGTTTCTGGGGAGTGCTCTCCCTGGTGGTCCTAGAGATACTGACGAATTCCTTTATTTATTTAATATGATTTGTTAGATTCAGCTGTAGTTCGGTTGAATCTATTCATTGTTGTAATAATTCCTCCAATCCTACGTTTTTTTTTCTTTTCCATTTATTTAAGTGTTGTAATAATTTCTCTCTCTCTCCCCTATTTTCTCTTTTGAATTATTGTAATAATCTTCCAATCCAACATATTTTTATCCATTTTATTTATGTGCTTTTCGTATATGTATAGCATCATGTTTTATTTTATCATATTCATGTACTGCATCCATTTTTCATGCGTCCAGGTCCGGCTCATGTGCATGTGTGGGTTTTATCTTTTCCAAAGTTGATTATGTGTGCTACCTCATTTCTTGGGATGATACGCATGTCATATGTTAGTAGCCGGACCCCTTAGATGCATTTTGTGTATGTATTGCATTAGTCATTTGTATATAGGATCATGCATATATTCTAATATAATTCTTCCGGCTTTTTCTCGGAGTACTAGGTGAGCATTTATGCTTTAGCATGTAGTGTGTGTATGTTATTTATCATATCTGTTGCTATACCATGAGGTTAGATGCTTAAATGAGATATCTGTTTGAATGCCAGTGGATGAAGGTCGTGTTGTTTACATTGAAGTGCAGTTGATTCTTATGCTTCTGAGTTTGTACAAAAAGGGGCTTTTCAAAATGCACAAAATCAAAGCATAAACCAAAACTAATGACACGATCTATACTTGATTGAATCAAATAGTAATGTTAGCCTTATTAATAATCGGAACATGAGCATATATTGATTATAAAAAACACATCATGAGTTAGTAAAGGCCATCTTTTGATCGGGTGAGTGGGGTGCTCAATTCATGACCTTTCCCTCTCATACCTAAATTCCCGAACCGAGACACTTTGGTTATGACGGACAGTGGCCTTTGGCACGAGTCACTGGTTTCCTAATTTTCCCAAACGATTAAGTAGCGACTTTGAGATCTGGTGATATAGTCCATTTTTTAGTAAAAGTTTTGCAACTAAATGAATTTTCTGCATAAGTTGTCAGATATGGATTCTCATTTATATTTCACATTGCACTTGTGAGACTAGATCGGGAGGTCGAGAATCCGAACCATTGGGCACACTTGGTAACCCCAAAGGCATCCCACAGTTAGGTAGTTAGGAGACAAATGATGATCCATTTATCATTGGCCAGGAGTGTCATGTAGACCATGTAACATCATATTATGGAAGTATCAAACAATTTTCCCCTAAAAAGAACAGTTCAATCACGCCCGATTGGCTAGGCTAGCATAGAAATCAAGCACACCCCAATTTATGTTTTACACTTGTGTGGCTGGGAATCCATCATCTTGATTTTGTTTTAACAAAACCACCTTTCAAAACGATTTCATGGAAAACTAACTCAAAGTATATTGATTAATTTATTTTTCTCTGCATGATGTGATTTATATACCCACCACAGGGATGAGCTTTACAAAGAGTGTGTTAAGGCTTTACAAGGTGGGTTGCTGTTAAGTGGCAAGGACTTCAACAGCATTAGAAAGGCATTAAAGGAGGCTTTTGAAAACGCCGATGCAAAATTGTTAAATTGGTAAGCTAGTATATGTTCGTACTTGTTAGTGAAAATTCATCTTGCCTTACCAAAGTATCAACAAGCATATATAGTCTCAATATGATTGTATATTCTATATTATTGCATTGAAGGTTTAGATGCTGTTTCATTTTGTAAAGGCTTGATGAGAACGGAGAGGAAGTCGAATCTGGTTCAACAGCTACTGTTATGTTCCTTGGAAATGAGAAGATCTTTATTGCACATGTTGGTGACTCGTGTGTGGTATATATCCAAAACACTAATTGCTCATCGTTGGTTCATTTAAAAAAAATATATATATATATATATATATTTATAAGAAGAATTCTGATGTGACAATGCTTTTGTGGATGAAATGATCTCCCTGGTTTTCTTGGCCAACTTGTCGATGCAGGTTTTATCGTGCACTGGTAAAGCAGAAGTATTAACCAATCCTCATCGACCCTATGGAAGCAATAAGGCTTCTCTTCAAGAAATCAGGCGGATCGGAGAAGCAGGTGGATGGGTGTGTTTTTTCTGTTCTTAATTCCATTTTCTGTTCTTTATTTGCTGTATCAGTTCCGGAAGCAAATAGGTAGGTCTCTAATAATCCATTGGACTTGCTAAATGGTAATTAGCATCTGATCATAGTGACCTATTCCATGTTCCAAATGTTTAACTTAAAAAATAATAATAATCTCTCTTCGGAAAGAACAATGAAAATTCCAAAGCTAGTAGAATTCAAAAATCATGAAAATATCTGTTGTGTAACTGTATCATTGCAGTTCATTGAATGGAACTAGAATTGCACTAGCTCAGCACTCATGAAACTCCTGTCGTGTTTCTCAAAGACATTCTGATGGTGGCATGATAACCTGCCGTCTTTATAAACTTATTATGGTTAGCATTGTAATATTCCACATGTTGTTATGTAGTTCCTTTTCATTTCATCAATCCATTTAGGAGATGAATCATTCAATTCCAGTTTCTGGTGCCATTTTCTTTGACTTGGGAAAAGAACTCTGTATTGTATTAGGCATAGAAGGTTGTCAATTCGAGTTCCACCATCTTTCCTAAAACCAATTGGTGATAGGAAGGGCTTCACTTATGTCTTTTATGACATTTGACATTGCGCCCGCGGGCCTATTATTTTTATTAGAGCAGTCATAGGTACCAACAATCCCTCTCTCACGTTGATGCTCCTGCAACTTGAACCCATGACAACTTAGCTCTGGTACCACTTGTCGGGCCGAGTTCCACCATCTTTCCTAAAACCAAAGGGCTTCACTTATGTCTTTTACAACATTCGACATCGGGTCCGTGGGCCTATTATTAGTGCAGTCGCAGGGAGTGGCAATGTGTACCAACAGAGGTGTTTCGGTTTCCTCCTCAGTGTGTAGTTGTACCCTTTGCTTTTACAATGGATATCTTTGGCTTTGGGATATCTTCGGCTTTGTATCAATCAAACTATGGTTTTGCTTAGCTTGTTTTTCTACAGGACATCATTGGCTTTGAATTAATCTGATCGTTATTTGTTTGGCTTATTTTAACTTTATCATTGTGCGGTGAAAATTTCAATTTATTTAATTCTGGAGAATTTTTCATAAATTTTAGTGTATAAAGCTTCATGCTTCTTTTGGGTTAAATTTTTTTACCCACTTGGGTGATGATTATTCTTCCATATGGTGTCTACAGATTGTCAATGGGAGAATTTGTGGAGACATCTCAGTATCCCGTGCTTTTGGCGACATGCGATTTAAGACAAAGAAGAATGAGTATATTCTCTCTTCCTTTTCTACTAAAATGAATAGAGGGTCCATTACTATGTACATTCCTAATGATCTGTCTCTGTTTTCACATGAAAAGGATGCTGGAGAAGGGAGTTAAGGAAGGGAGATGGTCACAAAAATTTGTTTCTCGGTGGGTTGTCTCAAACATTTTCAATTTTTGTTTATCTATCCTTTTTGCACTCCTATATCATAAGAATGCCCTCATGAATCCATTGGTTATAAATTTGCAGTGCACTCTCTTATTATTATCTTCCTACTGTCCTAATACAATGGTTATCAGATCAATCAAACACAAAGGGTTTTTTGATAGATAATCTGGCAACTGGATATTTTATTAATCAGATATATTCTTGTAAGCTGAATATTGCCTATTCTGTGGCATAATTGATAATACCCAGAAGAAAAGGCAAACCAATTGCCTTGGGTAGTTCAGGACTTGTAGTTCTATTTACAGCTTAGCTAATTTTGAGTGTATTAGATTGCTTTGACAACAAACACATTTTGTTTTATGCCAGAATAAAATTTAGTGGAGACTTGGTTACGGTAACTCCCGATATTTTTCAAGTTCCTCTTGGCTCAGATGCAGAATTTATAATATTAGCATCTGATGGCTTATGGGATTACATGAACAGGTTTGTGGTTTCCTGTTTGAACCTTGTACGTACATTCTGTAAATTATCTTAAATCAGCCCGGTAGTTATTTATTTAATATTTTTCTCAATCAACCACAAGATGAGTATCATCCCGTCAACTTTGCTATTGTTTCAGCTCAGAAGCAGTTAATTTTGTTAGGAATCAGCTTCGGCAACACGGAGATGTTCAGGTAAAAAATTTGCCTCAATTCTGGTATGCTGGTGTCATGGTTTACAAAGTTTTAACTTCTTTTGTTCTGATTGTAGTTAGCTTGTGAGGCACTTGGAAGAGCAGCTTTGGTAATGGATGCGTAGATGTTTATTTTTCTTGCACAATGCTTGATCATACATGTATTGTTTGCCTGTTCTAATAACCTGCAAAATTGTGTATATTACAGGACCGACGCTCACAAGATAATGTCAGCATCGTCATTGCTGATTTGGGGTATGCACTTGTATGCATTAAGTTAATTTAATATAATGTTTTCCATTCTAATCTAATGTGTTAATCTATTGTACTGATATTAACTTTTCTAATTTGGTCCTGGCTGTGACTTTTTGCAGGAGGACAGATTGGCAAAGTTTGCCTCGTCAGAAGGAAAATTTTGCTTATGAACTGGGCCAAGCTTTTGCTACTATCGGGATTGTGTCATTAGGAATATGGATGTCATCTCTGCTTTCTACATGAGTTTTCAAGCCTCCTGACTTTGTAAATAAATCCTCACAGATTTCCAATATATTTTGTATCTAGATATATTTTGTAATTGTACATGTATCGCATCTTATTGATATTAATAAATGTGTCTCAGAAGAATCTCAAATGATTGTCATTTACATTCATTAAAGTACTGTACCAACTATACTGCAAGGATAGATTCACTTACAATTGCATTTATAAATTATTATACTTTGAGTGATTTCTTGCTAATTGAAAAGCAATTAAGATTTGAGGATGCCTGCTAAATTTCAACTCTTTCATGTCCTTGTTAGACACTTTATAGAAATTCTAGTGCCAGGTAAACATTAGCTTGGTATATGCAGAAAAGTCAGTTTAGAAACTAGGAAGCCAATTTTCTCTAATGTTCTATGAGATGCAGAGATGCGTGGTAGAACCTTTTGTCAATGAAAGGTGAACTGTGCTAGATTGACGGGTACTCTGGGGAAAATGAAGTCTGGAATATGTTGTCAATTTATTGTATGTATAGCTGAGTATTTTTTTCTGAGGAAGTAATGGGTTTGTTCTATGTTCTATGTAAGGAAACTTTTGAATCTCCAAAAGAAAGGAGAAGGAAGAAAAATAATGATGAATGATGAATCCACATAGGGCTCCATGAAGATATTAGGAAAAATTTTCTCTTAGGCATATTTATGTAGGACGAGGAGGGACTACTTTCCTACAAGTAGTGAGCCCAGATTAAGTATATTGGCAGCAACAACAATTGACTTATAGGGCTAGATTTGGTGGGATTTTGTGGTTGTAAAAGTATTTAAAACAAAAAAAAAAAAAAGGAATTTAAGGGTTTGTAAAAAGGTAGCATTTTGGGAATGAAAATACAAGTGTTTAGGGGCTGTTGGGTAGTTATTCTACGCACTGTGAACAGTGATGTGAATAGTAACCTTGCTGGAGAGAGAGAGAGAGAGAGAGAGAGAACGAGGTGCTTCACCCTCAAAAGGGATAGGCCAATCACACACAATCTCAAATTTTCATAATATTAACTCTTCTCGAATCATTGAGATTACACAAATATTTATAGGCTAATGACTCTCCTAATTCTACCAAGACTATAACTCAAATTTAGAAACTAAAAATATTTAGCAACTACTAATATTTTGGACCCACTATGACTCTAATTTTACTTCAATCATAATAGGAAACTTTAATGACTTCTAATTCTACTTCAATATCAAAATAGGAAAATTGGACTTTTGACCATGAAAATTATTTTAGTCATAATATTAAAACCTATATATAATGACCCATTTAATAACTTGACCCAAAATAAAACCCATGGATGAACCCTACAACCCATGTCCAACAATTATTGGAATTACCATTATATCCTTAATTACTAAAACCTACTATAATGACATGAAAACTCAAAATTATTCAAAATCTTTAATTCTTGATGCCCTAAATGTCCTTCATGTGAAATTTCAAATTTGCTCTTTTACTTCTTTCCATGATCTTCATCATTCTCCTCTGCATTTGAAAAAACTCGACCTTAAGTTTTATAATGTTGAAATATAAGGATTATAGAATCTTACACTTGCAACCATTCAAATTGATTGTTTTGAACGAACGATGAGAAAATCAAAAAGTTTAATGTTGTCATCACTCCATTAACCATATCGAATTTATTAGGAATAATAAACTCAATGTGAACTTCATTTTTCTTGTGAAGAACATAAAGTTCAATTGCGTTCTCATCATTTTCTTTGGCTTCCTTGATTTTAGAATCTTGATCATGATGATCTTTCATGCTTTCTTTAGTAAGGAAATTAATTTTGCCTTCGTTTCTTCAATATCCTTAATATTAACATGTTCATCTTGCTCTTTCGTAGTTTCTTCAAAATCTTTAACACCTTTATCCTGTTGCTTCTGGATAGTAGTCTTCTCTAAAACAACAGCCAACAATCTTTTCATGGAAACTTTCAATGCATTCAAAGTTGTCTTGATAGTATGCACATCACTCTTTATTATTGCAACATCCTCCTTAATTATCGCAAAATCCTCCTTTAACATCGCAATATCTTTCTTAGTAGCTCTATATTTTGTTGACAAGGCTTCAAACTTCCAATTTAATTCGATGCTTGTCAACATTGTAATAAAGAAAGCAATTTTATCAAAAGATTGGTAAGGAACAAGGTAAGATCTTGAAACTCTGATACCAAACTGATGTAGGACGAGTAGGGATTACTTTCCTACAAGTAGTGAGTTCAGGTTAAGTATACTGGCAGCAGCAACAATAGACTTATAAGGCTGGATTTGGTGGGATTTTGTGGCTGCAAAAGAATTTAAAAAAAAAAAAAAAAAAATGGAATTTAAGGGTTTGTAAAAGAGTAGAGTTTTGGGAATGAAAATACAAGTGTTTAAGGGCTGTTGGGTGGCTGTTATAAGCACTGTGAATAGTGACATGAACAGTAATCTTATTGGATAGAAGGAGAGAGAGAGAGAGGTGCTTCATCCTAACAAGGAATAGGCCAATCACACACAATCTTAAATTTTTATAATATTAACTTTTCTCGAATCATTGAGATTACACAACTATTTATAGGCTAATAACTCTCCTAATTCTATCAAGACTATGACTCAAATTTAGAAACTAAAAATATTTAGCAACTACTATTCTAGACCAACTATGACTTCCAATTCTACTTCAATCATAATAGGAAACTTTAATGACTTCTAATTCTACTTCAATATCAAAATAGGAAATTTAGACTTTTGACCTCTTAAATTATTTTAGTCATAATATTAAAACCTATATATAATGACCCATTTAAGAATTTGACCTAAAATAAAACCCATGGGTGACCCTTACAACCCATGTCCAACAATTATTGGAATTATCATTATACCCGTAATTACTAAAACCTACTATAATGACATGAAAACTCAAAATTATTCCAAATATTTAATTCTTGATGCCCTAAATGCGCTTCATGTGAAATTCCAAATTTGTTCTTTTTCTTCTTTCCATGATCATCACATGTGTAACCCATAGAATCTCTACTGTAAGAGACAAGGTCTTTCCATTTAGAGAAAATCATTATTGAAATATTGTGATGATGGTAACTTATAAAATTGTAGAAATTATGGAGATTTAGGCAGAATGAAAAGTCCCATAGAAGAGTGCTTCCTTTTCTCTGCTGCTTCTGGTCTTAATAATCTTGATAAGTACACATATATTCGCCTGCTTAAACGGCGTGGAATTTGACAGCCATAGAAGAGTTGATCGTTGTAACTTTTTGTGAGGATAAGAAACTGGAGTTTCCTTTGTTCATGTAGTGATCTTGAATACTTTGTTGCTTTTGAAAACTTGGCTCTTATAATCATCAGCACCATATGCAGCATAGGCTGAAACTAAAAGTGCATACATACATTCCTCAAAATTGATCAAGCAAAGTTTTACCCCAATGCCTTGTATTGCCACTTATAGGATGATTAGCTAGTGAGCAACAACCGTGCTAAAGTTCTTTAATATTGAATCTGAAATCCATCTGTTTTCTTTTCCTGGTATTCTCCTCATTGTACTGTCAGCTGTTATACGATAACATAGGCTTCGTTTTGATTATAATTTGCAAAATCAATGTCCAAAGAAGTACACAAAAGAGTATCTGAAATACTCTTCTGAATTACCCCATATGGTGGTGTCCATGTGCCCACAAGAGGGCATTTACAATAATAATATCTAAAAACTCATACTGAACTTCAGTTCTATATATATTAAATCTCCTCATACATGATCAAAGTCTCTATGGGATAGTAGTGCTTAATACTATTCTCATGGCACAGGGGCAGGATAGGATGATCAGTAGAATCAGGGGTTCTTGCCACCATTTCCCGGTTTTCCCTTCCTTTGATCATGCTTAGGATTGGGTCCCGTATAATCATAATCCAACACTGCATCAACCACCAAAAGCTTCCTTGAATTCATTTTCGCATAATCCTTCACAAAACAGGTAGAAATGATTAGCAAAACAAGTCTTTTTTGCTTTAAAGCTGTATCAGAACTCACAGTTTGTCTTAGTTTCCTTCTCTAGTGAGTATTTATTTTCATTATGTGATCTTACTGTCATATTAGTTGTAACACAGTACATTATCGCTCTCGCTCTATGACGCTAATTTTTATGTAAAACTACCTACCTTATGAAGCGAGTAAATGGGGTTCTTGTTGTCCCTGAAGCCTTGAGCTATGCCTAGAGGAAAATAAGGAGAGAAGATAGATTAACTTAATAAGCTAGTAAAATTTTAGGAAGTGAAGTAAAGAAGATGATAGTGAGAAGTGGCTCACCTGAAGAGAGTAAGAAGTAAATGAGTAGTAAGAGGAAAAGTAGAAGAGGGTTGTTGATCCTCATAACCATAGCTGGTGACCTTCTTGTTGTTGTAATTGTATTGTTTGTTGTCACTGTTTTCAGAGTTTCATAAACTATGAATTGTGATTCAAAGTTGGAATGGAATGAGATGGGAAGGGGAGAAGAGAGGACGCTACTTTTATGGTTGCTGAGTTGAGTGGGGGGGAGGGATGGGGGGTGGGGGCATCCCATGGGGGGTGTTGTGATGAGTGCAGCAATACCTACCCAATTGCTTTACAATGATGATGAAGTGCATTACCCTATTTAGCCAGAACCTGTAAGTCAACTATACTGTACTACAGTGACTTTAGTATAAGTGTTCCATCAAAATAGAATGCATGTGGACACTCCCCAAACCAAAACAATCCTATTGTATTGCTCTCGGACTCTTCTGCCATTTTCAGCTTGTTTTTGGTTGCTCTTCAACTTTTTCTGTAAGTCAACCTACTTTTATTTTCTTTTCTTTCCTCCCCACTAACATAAAACCAGTGGCAGATATGCCCTGTTGATTGTCAATCAATTTCTAATACTTTTAGACTCCTTTTGTTTCAATGGTGAAATTAACGAGCCTAATAAGACAGTTAACACTGCATCAGTGTTGTGTGGTGCATAATATGTGATGAATGTGACGGAACTAACCAGCTGAGTTAGCCCAGTTGGGCAGAGCACTTGGATCTTACTAGAAAGTCAAATACTTCTCTCTTTGAGAGTCGTAATTATGTTCCAGGGAGCCTCTAAATGCACTCAAAAACATTGTTGCATAT